CAATGGCTATCACTGGTGACAAGGGGGAGCCCATAGAGGTACCCTCATTTGTTTGTAGAAGGTGCCATTCCAAGTAATGTAGGTGTTGGTGAGGCAGTGCCTAGCCAGCGCAGGTACCTCTGGGTTCAGTCCATGTTGGACCAAATCTTCAATTATTGTTAAGGTATCAGGTACTGGGACCTTGGTGAACAGAGAGACCACATCAAAGCTGATGAGGATATCGTCAGGAGATAGTACAATGTCTTTGACCATAGAAACCAATTGGGTTGAGTTAAGTACTGCTGAGGTGGTCTTGCCAGTGAAGGGAAGCAGAGTATCTGACAGGAAGCGGGTTAGCTTGTAGGTAGGGGAGTTGATCGTGGACACGATGGGTCGTAGTGGGGTACCTTCTTTATGGATCTTGGGAAGACCATAGAATCTGGGAGGTCTTGCAGCGGAGGGTTTTAGGGAGGGACGTTTGGTTGGTTCGATTAGGGACGTCGAACAAGTGATGATCTTATTGGTTTTCATCGTTAGGCTGTTAGTAGGATCATTTTTAATTTTTGAGTAACTCCCATCATTGGGTAGGTCCTGGATTTTGTTATTGTATGAGTTTTTATCCATAATGATAGTGGCATTGCCTTTGACGGCCGAGAGGATGACTATATCATCCTTTTTTTAATTCGCGAGTTCAGATCGCTTGTTTTTGCTGATGTTGCTAGTGGGTTTCTTAGCATTTTTAAGAATAGTGGCTATCTTGGCTCTCGCAACGTCTGCTTGGATGTATCCGATACCTTTGAGGGCTACATCAACCTGAGAGATGATATCCTTTACTGGGATTTGTTTATGGGTAACAGCAAAATGTAGTCCTTTGGCCAGTACTGTTTTCAGGTTGTCCGAAATCGGGATGTTACCCTGATTAATGACGATTTTGTTAACGTCTAGTTTCGTGATATGTGGTCCTGGGTTCTAATTTAACAGGCGGTTGAATTTAGCTTTGCATTTGACTGACAGTGAATCAGCAGAGGCAGCCGTCATGTTGTCAACATGGTTCCAGTCAGAAGTGGACATTTTTTGTGTTAACATTAAATGAGATTGTAGGAGAGTCCTGTCCAAACTATCGAGTTCAAATCGGAGCAACCTTATTCTTTCTGTGTTGCCTCCGAAACGTCGTGATTTAATTTAGTTGTTTTTTCTTTTCTTTTAACCTATGTGACTTTACCGAAAAAAACAAAAAGAATTAATCCTTGAAGTCACGAAAGCTTCAAATCTAGAATTAATTACCTCTACGGGGAGGATTCCACCTATCTGTTAGAGCTTTTAACAGACAACGAGATAAGAAAGCTCACCGAGACGCTAACCTTCCTCAAAAGATGCCGCGATAACAAGGTAATACCCTTTTTCTTCTTTGGTTCTTTCGGTAAAGTCATGTAGAATGAGAATAAAATAATAAATTAATAAAATCAAATAACACAATAAAATTCTCACGACGTTTCGGCCACAACACAAGTGGCCTTCATCAGGTGAAGGGACGAGACTGTCTGGAGGACAGCACTGGAGCGAACACAGCCAAGATCAGACCGCGACCTTAAAGCTGTGTGAGAAGAAATAGAGTGCCGATGACGAAGGAATTAGCATAGAATTTAGCATTGAAATAGCTGAGTGATTAGCTTGTGACTGGTCACAGAAATGGCTTTGTTAAAGTCAAAGCATACACATCCACAGAGGCACCCCTTGACAAAGGAATTAGCATATAATTAAGCATTGAAATAGCTGAGTGATTAGCTTGTGACTGGTCGCAGAAATGGCTATGTTAAAGTCAAAGCATACACATCCACAGAGGCACCTAGTACAAATCAAACAGGAGAATTTAGCTTTGAAATAGCTGAGTGATTAGCTTGTGACTGGTCACAGAAATGGCTATGGTAAAGTCAAAGCCTACACATCTGAGCTATTAACAGTAACTGGGTATACACTACACTATATAATGAATACTATATAGTAAACCAATAAAAAACTCAAATATAAATTACCTCAATGTTATCAATAAACTCTATATTCTCCAATCAGCTAAGCTGCAAACAATAAGTCGTTATATATCACAATGCTATATGGCGAAAAAATGGGTGGATTCTTACCCTCAACTTTAGCACCACGGATAGCTATGAGCCCCGTTCAGACGGACGAGTTCATCCATGGTCGGAACGGAGGAGGGAGAGAGAGACAGCTGCGAGGCGCTGTTATCCTCCATGTTGTAAACCATACCATTAACCGTGATGTGAGAGGTATTAAGAGTCAATGCTAGCGAAAGAGCTACGGTCTGAAGGTCATCGTAAAATACAATTAATTAAGAACGGAAATGGTTTAAAACATCTTTCCAATGGTTACTAAGCCAGAATCCATCTTCTCGGTTGAAATTGTCTCTGTGCTTGTATATGTGAATGGCCTCATGAACGAATCTCTCATGGTAGCCGGTTGGTTTGCAAAGAACCTCCGTCTTGGAGAAGTCAATGTCATGTGAGCCCACTGAATTATAACAGTGATTTGCCACGACAGAGGAGTTCGTTCTACCGTGTTTCAAGCTGCTTTATGTTCGCGGATGCAGTCCGAGATATGTCGTTTGGTTTCTCCAATGTAGCTACTACCACAGAGGCACTTTAGTTTGTAAACGCCCGGGTACTGTATGTCTGGAACAGCATCTTTTACAGATGGAACCAGATCACGGATTTTATGTACTGTGTTGAATCGGACCTGGATCTTGTGTTTATTCAGGATTTTGGAGATCTTTTTAGTGACCCCTGAAATCTAGGGTAAGGTGATGGTTTGAGTGGCTCCACAAGAGGATCCTTCTTCATGACTGGAGTGATGGCTTTGCAGATTGTGTAGTCGGAGTAACCATTAGCCCTGAGAGCCTGGTGTACGTGCTTGAGTTCACAGGTAATGTGTTCCTTGTCGGAAATTCATTGGGCTCTATGGTATAGTGTCTTGATGAGGGAGTTCTTCTGGGATGGATGGTGGTTTGAAGTAAGCATCTATATGGGTAGCTTTCCTGTAGACAGAGTGGCTCATTGAACCATCATGTCTCCTTTTAATTAAGACATCCAAAAAGGGTAGTTTGCCATCTTTTTCGACCTCTATGGTAAATCTGTGGCTGGGTGTATGGAATTGATGTGGTCGCGGAATTGGTCTAGAGCAGGCTGGCCATGTGGCCAGATGACAAAAGTGTCATCCACGTACCTCTTCCATAAGGTCGGGCGTAGAGTGGCAGTCTGGATGGCGTCAGTTTCAAATTTTTCCATGAATACGTTGGCTACAACCGGTTAACGGTATGGTTTACAACATGGAGTATAACAGCGCCTCGCAGCTGTCTCTTTCCCCCTCCTCCATTCCGACCATGGATGAACTCGTCCATCTGAACGGGGCTCGTAGCTATCCGTGGTGCTAAAGTTGAGGGTAAGAATCCACCCATTTTTTGCCATATAGCATTGTGATATATAGCGACTTATTGTTGGTAGCTTAGCTGATTGGAGAATATATAGAGTTTATTGATAACACTGAGGTAATAGTTTTTTATTGGTTTACTATATAGTATTCATTATATAATGTAGTGTATACCCAGTTACTGTTAATAGCTCAGATGTGTAGGCTTTGACTTTAACATAGCCATTTCTGTGACCAGTCACAAGCTAATCCCTCAGTTATTTCAATGCTAAATTCTCCTGTTTGATTTGTACTAGGTGCCTCTGTGGATGTGTATGCTTTGACTTTAACATAGCCATTTCTGTGACCAGTCACAAGCTAATCACTCAGCTATTTCAATGCTAAATTCTATGCTAATTCCTTCGTCAACGGCGCTCTGTTTCTTCTCACACAGCTTAAAGGTTGCGGTCTGAGCTTGACTGTGTTCGCTCCAGCGCTATCCTCCAGACAGTCTCGTCCCTTCACCTGATGAAGGCAGCTTGTGTTGTGGCTGAAACGTCGTGAGAAATTTATTGTGTTATTTTATTTGATGATTTTTTTATTTTATTCTCATTCTACGTGACTTTACCGAAAGAACCAAAGAAGATGAATCCTTGCAGTCACGAAAGCTTTAAATCGAAATCAAATAAACTTATATATCACAAACTAATAACAATATCACGACGTTTCGATCGCAACACAAGCAATCTTCTTGAACGATTGTGTTGCGAGAGAATACAGTAAGCACTTATAAAGGCCTTCCTGCGTGCCACGAGAAATCCGCACCATCGCCACTGCCAACCGGTATCTGAGGTTGATGAGCCTCTGGGCCCTCTGGTGTGTAGAATATTGTATTTATAACTAATTCATAAAGGCTGTGTTCGCCTGGCAAAAGTTTTCAATACATATAATGAACCTGATGACTTTTTTTTGGCAATTTGTATTTTACGATCAAGACACTAACTAAAATGTGTATTTTCCCACAAAACAAAAATTGTTGACTTGATTCAACTTAATAAAGTTTTAAAGCTTTCGTGACTGCATAAAATTACTCATTGTTTTTTTCGGTAAAGTCACGTATGTAGAAATACAATAAAATAATATTAAAAAAAAAACAATCACGACGTTTCGATCACAACGCAAGCGATCTTCATCAGGTGTCAAGAACAAATCACGGAGGTAAATACAACAAAAAGATGAGATACAAGAATTCAACAAACCTGAAAAAACATTATGTGAAGCACATCCAGTCAGGCCAACAACACAGACACTTCCTGGCGGACCACTTGCCCAGTCATTTAAACCAGCCGTACGATATGGAAGGGGACAAGGAAACAACGCAACTTAATCACAATTGTCCCAAAAATGTTTCAAGCTGGCCCGTTCTCTTGTTACAATCATGAAAAGAGATGAGACGGGCCAGCTACATAACCATCAAGATTGACTGATTTATTACTCAAAATGCCTACTTGCTTTCCCCATTCTCTAATTTCCCTGCAGAAAACACTCACAAGAGAGTTACATAACATATGAACCAATTCATATACACAGAAAACCAAAGAGAAACTGGAATATATGTAGTTTAATAAATGCACAAAATCAGAATATCAATGAATAATTAGTACTACAATTGTTACACGGATGGCATAAATCAAACAATTACATGAACTAAAATGACCAATGCAAGCCTGGGATATAATCTGAGCTCTACACGCACGAGGGCTAATGGAAGAGTTAATTTTAAAGTTACCCTGCATAGTCGAATAATGTATTTTACAATGATTATTCTTGACGATGTCTTGAAATACGTTATTTTACATTGGTGATGTAAGTTGCCGTGGAAACTGGCCAGCATGGCAAATTTATTTCTCTCCCACTTGACATGAATGCACGTTATCCGCCAAGGCAAAAGGGAGTGTCTTTCTCCGGCGTGTTTGTTCAATGACATGCTGGCACTCTGACGTGGTAGAGCTGTGTGGTCCAGCCACGCTTGATCTTGTCTCGCGCTTGCGCAGATGGACGGTAGCTTGCCTCGTCACTGCAGACTGCAGGTGCTTCCCCGGGATCTCCAACAAATATTGTGTTTGTTGTAATTGGAATAGTTTTAGTCCATGAGCCCAGACCAGATATTTCCCTTACCGGTACTACCCGCGGTGGCATGACTTCAGACGTTATGGGCCTAATACAAGTGAGTTATATAACTGTTTAAAATAAGTGGGTTATAAAATAATTCATTCTTATTAGCCACGTGCATGCATCGGCACGACTAAAGTGTTGCAACAATGGGTGGTACCAATTTCTGCATTGTCTCATGGACTAGTTGAGATGGCAAGCTGTAAGACCGTGCGTCTTCCGCAGTGGTGTCACCTTGGACTCGACTCACTGAGTTTGAAGTCTGTCGTGAGTTTTCTCACGAGCAAGAATGGTTATAAACAGCTGACCTGGCAGTAGGCATACTTGTAATCAACTATTATGGTCTGTCCACTCGTAATTATAACTTCATAAAATAATACAAAGAACTTAAAAAAATGGACAGCAGCATTAAAAAAATACAATGCAAAATAGAATTAGAAAACCAACCAGCAAACATGCTCATTTTGCAAGCGATCATGCAGGGTAGTGTTTATCCAGAAAATGTAGTCTGTGTTGTTCAGCACTTCACATTTAAAGATAACAAAAGTAAATCACTCCCTTGTGTTTAATCTTACATTCTAAATATGAAAGTATAAAGATATAATGCACAAACTATTTTAAGTGACAATACATTCATGATCATACGCATTTTATCTGATAATAGACGTGATTTTTTTATTTAAAAAAAGGACATGTGTACTACACACCAACTTTAAACACGTTAATCTTTTACCCTACGTACCGGCTTTTGATTAATTGTTTAGAGTTTAGACTCCTTCAGTGTTTTAGCCACTCCTTACATTCTTCCGAGCCATGGCAATGGCGGTAAGTGAACAATCACAGAAGGAATTCTGGTCAACATAGTGACCTGCACAAAATTAATTGATGCGTGTCTGCCATGCCCGTGGGCTTTGCAGATATATTAATGTCTGCAAAGCCCTACATTTGCTCTTAAACCTTTATATACACATTTACACATATGCAATAAGCAATATGTTTATGATTTATCCAAACTATTTTCAAAATTATGATGTCATGCCATGAATGGGAACAAAAATATATTCATAATTATGTCAAATTAACGTAGATGCCACGTTAGAAAATATCCTTAAAATTAGATTCCATAGAACTCTTTATGAGATCCCTTCAAATGACTTCTGATCCACACACTAGTTTCAAACTCGCCCAGATCCCAAAATGTATATATGTTTCCGGCATTCGAACATGTGCGAATACATATTTGCATGTTTTGGTGACTAATCTGAGATCATCAACACTACCCTGGGGAAACAGATAGCTATTAATGTTTCTCATAAATTCGAGCAGTCGCAAAGTACCTAATTAATATGGCTAGCACAATCTCGTCAGTTCGTGCATAACAGCTGGTCTCTCGCTGAGGCCAGCACGTTAATCGAATTTCATGTTATTAATGTTGATATGAGTGATTTCAGTGTTGTTACTCATCTTGTTAATTATGAATATATTTCTTAATCATGCTGAATTAGTCATTTAGCTCAATCACGGTCGTCTTACAAGCAGCCCGACCACACGATTTACTGTAACTTTACATATGCCAAATATCATATCATGGGTTACGAAGAGTTATGAGAAATCGCCAACTGAAATTACGACATTGAAATGATGTGGTAACATATTGTGTAACAATCACAGGCTGTTTCTGCATTCTAACATGGTATTTCTGTAGTGCCTACTCAGTGCTCGAAACTCTGAGTCGATGTGTTGTGTGCATAAATGCGTATTTTGTATATTCGTCAGTGTGTATGGCTATTTAATGTGGCTGCGTGTATATTTAATTGGGTGACAGCAATGTACGTGTGCATTGGTATGCATTGTTTATTTAAGGTAGTTTTGTGCACATTCCTGTGCGTTTATATTTGTGCATTGGTGTAAGCTTGTAACTGTGCTACGAATCCAGCGACTCGAGTCCAATTCCCGTTCACAGCCAACACCAGTGACGATTGTTTGAACCGGTCTTGGGCCTCCCTTAGATCAACTCAGCCTCAAACAGGTACAGGCGTGTCTCGCTGAACAGGCGTTCTTTTCACGATAATTCGCACAAATTAGCATTTAGAACTTTGCCCAATTTGTTCGCAAAAAGAGAAAATGTTCGTGTAACGAGCCGAGACAGATCGATCAAATCCGTCCCGTGGCGGCAGAGGGCGAACCTTGTCCCGCAGTTTATTGTTTCATCGCGCGCTTTCAGATGCAATTCTGCGGCCGTCTGGAACGCTCTTCCAATAGTAGTAAGCCACTGGAGTTATGCTCGAAGGGGATTGTTGTGAAAGATTCCAAATGAGAGCAGCAACCCCGATGGCTCAAATAGCAAAAATGTCTGAAGATATTCCAATTAAAAGTCAATCCTCATGAGATATAGGTATTTTTAGTTTTGTAAGATTGTGGAAAATGTTGGGGTGGAAACGTAACTTAGCTCTTAACATGGGAGTCAATGGGAAAACGATGATCATTAAACGAATTTTCCCTGAACGAGAAATGTTAGCGGAACGTATCTCACTCATTAATCGAACACGCCTGTAGCTGGTGAGCTGTGGAGTAAACATCGCCAACTTGGGAGACAAAGGCGGCATGGCGTGGTGCTGGCCACCCACCCCCTTGTGTGCCATGCCGGCCTTCATAGGTGATTGCTAACAGCACTTGCCCCAAGAAAATGTTAAGGATATATGGGGATCTTTGTCTTTGTATGCATGTTATTGTTTATACGTATCATGATTTATTATATACTGTATCCAGGAATGTTACATACGAAATATTTACGATACGTATACCTCTAAACATGTTATTGCAAAGTAACATGTTCAGATTTTCATTGAAATCTAGAGCAATAACGATTAATATTATTAATTTTAGCATTATCAATCTTTTTAAAATAAACTTTTACTTTAAAGTCAATACGTAAATCATGAAGATATGCAGATGTTGAGATATTATGGTCTTGCATTATGCAAATCATAAACATAAATCTGGAAATAAAAGTCGTGACATAATGTAATTGATTGAGTTAAAGTAGTAAGTTATAAAATTCATTAAAACTCCTGATATATTATTCAAACTCGTGATAATTTCCAGGTGCAAATTTGAGATGATATCCATTGGAGTATAATTCAGGTGTACAAATTTGTGATTTATAAAAAATATATATTCAACTTTAGTTAATTAGCAGTATTGTTTTAAAAAAAGGCATATTATTACATTATAAATAGATTCCATATTTAGACCTTATTCAGGTGATTGCGTGCGTGACTTCACCAGTTTTTACGTCGCCTTCCTTCCACTTGACCTCCATAGACCACACAGACAGTGAATTAGAAGTAGAAATGTAACACGATGGAAATTTCCACCAGCGAGTAGTACAGCTATAATGTTCGCCCATTGCGACACTGTACCAACCACTTGATAATCATCAATAAGTAATTATCATCATTTTTCGAAGACTTCAGGCCTGAAACATATTAGGCGAATACTGCTGCAGCTGTTATACAGTTGATTGTTGTTGCTGTTATTGTTTGTGCCGCTGCATGTACCTGCTGATGCTTCACAACCCTAGTCTACAGCAAGTGGTTGGTCACAATGGTGAGCATTCCAGCTATACTCACTGGTAACATTCTATCGTGTTACATTCCCTCGCCTAATTCAACGATTGCCTGTGGTCTACGGAGGACGGGTAAAGGAGGGCAACAGCTCGTGATGAAGTCACACACACATGTTATCGTAGTTGAATCAAGTAGATTGTTTTAAAAATTCAGGCTGCAGGAACCTCACATGTAAATTAAGAGAATTGTTTTAATTCCAATTGTATGAATTGATTTGCAACGTCAACATATGCTGATATTTTGTAAAAATGTAGTTGTACTTTGCTCTAAGCGAATTGATCGTCATCATCACCATCACTTTCTTCTATTCCTGATATGGCTGAGGGATTTTCTACTTCTAGTGGTAGGACTGCCGTTAATTGTTTCTGAATAGAGTTCAGTCTCTTTTGAAGTTTTATGTCATGCTCTTCTTTAGATTCCAGAGCCAACTTCCTTATCCCTTCTTGAGCAATTCTACAATTTTCACTGAGTTCTTCTTCGGCTCGTGCAAGTTCACCCGTTTTCTCATACAGAGCTATGAGCTTGCCAAGGCTGCTGACATTATCCATAAGGTAACGGTTAGAGACTTCGACGTACGTGCCAGAAATCATGTTCACCAAGTGTGATACTGCAGCTGCTTGTGAAACCTGAGCGTAGATGGTGTCTTTTAAAAAATCAATTCGTGTTGAATGTGATGTCAATTTTGAGACTTGTTTGCATTCTTCCGTAAAATGGGTTAGCTCCTTGTGGAGACACGTGTCAATAAGATTGGATATCATTTGAAAAAAGCGCACAAGCTTTCCCCATTGCTCTCGAATAAGGCCAATTGCTTTGAGACCTTTAACGAGCATTTGAAGGGAACTCTCAAAATCTATTTGTTTTCGATCACGTTTTTGCATATCTATAAGTATGTCATTAAGTTCCTTGTTGCTTTTCTGTAGATTCTCGTGGACCTTGCCATGTTGTTCTTGTGTTAATTTAACTTGTTCTGTGGCGTTCTGCAATTGCATGCGGGCATTTTGCATCACCATGTCAGACATACTTCCTTGATTTGGGGTAGACTGCTTAGAGATGTTGGGTGGCCTTGCAGTAACAATTGAAGCGTTTAGAACTGCTTTTCTGCCCCTCAAAAAATTATCCATCCATTTTTTCAAATTAAAAATTTTTGGGGAGATTTTTTTTTTATATTTTGAATTCATTGCTTGGAATTTTTCTGAGCACATGATATTGTAGCATAAATTTGCTGCAATGGAACATATTTTCATTGCAATTTTCTTTTCTGGGCAGTCATCTGCTTCACTCAATTTATTGTAAATGTTTTGGAATTCCCTTTCTAACATAGTGTAATGATTTTGTTGTTCCTCCTTATTTTGTAAGTTTAATCTATCTGGCACATTTATCATTTGTATTAAGGTGTTCATAGTAGCAGATATATTAAAAATGTTGTGTTGTACATATGTTGCACCACTATTCATTTGATCTATATCATTGCTTGCATTTTGAACAGTACCTGTCGTTTGGACTTTACCATATCCAGTTAAATATTGAAAGGTTGCAACAGATATTGCACTTTTTATGCCATTAATTAGGCCTTCTGTGAGTGACACTTTAAGCATCATGTATGCATCCGGAATGTTATCTACAGATTCCTTGTGGTATTTCTTAGCTCCTTCCAACTCCTTTTCTATTTGCTTAAAAACCATTTCAGAATTCTCTTTTTCTTGTTTTGCTAAGTCATTCTTAATCTTAAGGATTTCCAGTTCCTTTTTGATATTAGACAAATCATTTTCGTATTGACTTTTGGAATTTGTGCAAGCTTCCAAAAGCTCTCCAGTGAGCTCCATGACGTTATTAAATTCATTTTCAACATCTTGGGCTCTTTGCAAACAGGTATCTGCCGTAGCTTTTATTTTTTTAAGATGAAGGGGCAAAATCAACTCAACTTCCTGTGTATCAGTGTGAGTCAATATTTTCTCCACTTTTGTCATTGTTGACAGTATAGACTGTGAAAGAAGTCGAATCTGATCCATGCATGTGTGTGCCTTATTGAATGCTTTATATCCAGCATTGCTAGTCTGAACAAGGGTTGCCCGAAAAGATTTTGGGTACCTGATGAACTTGTAACCATCTTTAGGCATATTTTGATCAATTGGAAAGTCATTACCAGTTGACACTACAAGCAGCTGACCCAATAATGCAATAGTCATTGGTGCTGGAATAAAAAATTCTTCCCAATTTGTGTATGGTTGCATCATCATCGCTAGATCTTCTCTGAGATCAGCTGCCTTTGTGATGCTTAACATTGCAGCACTGACTTTGGCCACCGCTTGTTCATCTTCATTTGCCATGTTTATTTGCGTCTGAAAAGGAGAGAACAAACGTATTTGTTAAAGATGAAATGCACCTCAATCCCATTTCATCCACTTGTGAGCAATTATTTCAGGTACGGTGCTCAGGGGTCATTCTGTATTTAATGTAAATTACAATGAGACTTTGTCTGGAGTTGTCTATTTCCCCCGTCTTCTCTCTACATATTACTCAGTGTTATACAGGTGAGTGTTAGGATGTTTATGGAACACGTGTGAATTGTATGAGTGACCCAAACACACTATGAAATACAATTATACATTGCTCATTAAATTTTTACGAATTTAGTTTAATTAGCCGATAATATGACCATCAGCTGATTAAAATGTGTGAGATTAAAACAAATTAAACATTAACTTTTTATTTATTGTGAAACCCATAATATGCTAGGTTTTATGATTCCCCACCCCATCTATGATACTGGCATCATGAATATATTCGCAAAAAACCATTGTTTCTTCTTGTGAGTACAAATCATCTGCAGTGATGCAAAAATGAGTATACAGGTGTGAATATATAGTTTTTTTAGAATTCATATAATACAATGTCAATAATCTATAACAATGGATTATTATTTAAATCATTTTAACAAACACGATTCAAGTTAGTAAGCCCAAAGGAAGGAATTCAATTCAGGAAAAAACATGTTAGTGGAATAGAGATATGTAAAATAGTATGACGAAGTAAAAATACAACCAGCCCATTTAAATACTGGAAGATTATAGGAAGAGGAGGGGCACTCACACGGACGATGCTCTTCAACAATCCTATTAAAAAAAGGTTTTCAAATGTCTTGCAATAATGCACCTTGATACATGTGTTCAAGAGTAAACGAGGCATCTGACAACATGGTGTTAAGCTGACAGGCCATACCTTAAAATCTATGGGGAACGGTTATTGATTTTTTTTAGATCAGAAGTGGAGAGATCAATTAAGACAGTTAGACTTCATGCCAGTAAGATGGATAATAGTATAACACTGAGTAAATATGCTGAAATTAAATCCCTGATCTTCACACGGTATGTATAGACCTGGATCGACATAAGAGTGCCACGTAAAATAATTAGGCGGTGTCCGAGAACAAGGAGTGTCCCTAAAACCTATTTTATACCAGTAAAAAACATGTATACGAGAAAAAAAAACCTCAATGGAGAGCTTCTGCCGAAGCTTCTGCCGAAGCTCTGAATACGTTTCCGTCCCTTTTCCTCGTTCTTTGTACTTGTCCTAGACACCGTGACAAGATAAACACAAAAGTTGCACATTTTGCATGTTAGTTTCTCGTGGTATTGTGCTATGTGGCGAAAATAGATGAAGTGTAGCAAAATCTGGAAAGATGGATCTACTGCCTGGGAAAACATGTGGATAGGTAGAGTAAGATACGGAATATGACATTTCAAATGAAAACAGGAAGAGCAAAATAAGCAAGAAGTGAAGTTGAGAGATACCTCGCCACTGAATGCCAATGTGGTCAAGTGTCTCGGGTTAACAGTACAAGAGCGTGGTCCAATGAACAATGAGCTAAAAGTGAGGATCCCAAAGACATGACTAAAATGTAGAAAAAAACAAGTACAGTGGTTTACGATGGGAATATGCCAAGTTTATTGAAGGAAAGAGTATATATGACAGTAGTAATAGGAATAGTATTGATATTCTGGAGGACAAGATGATGTAAAATAATGAAGAAAAGTTGGATCTGAGTGATTAATATAGTTATTGGGTCAGAAAGAAAGCGAGAGTAGTAACTGTCAGACAATCTCAAATACTTTCTATTCAGATGGTTGGGACTTAAATGAGAGGAAAAGCACAATGTAAGAAAGGTGATCAAGATTAATGCACTAGTGTTGTATGTGGTGAGTGAAAATTTGATGAAAATTAAATGAAATTTGAAATGTCCATAACTTATCCAAAATTGTGTTAATTTGTGTAATTATGCATATAAATTATGCTAATTCGAGAGATAATCGAATTAATTTATGCGAGTGGGTGTGGTTATGTTAATGACAGCCTTTATGATAATCAGACCCCGCCTCTTTCACGAGGGTCGGTTATCAATCGGGATAATGCAATTATTCTCGCTTCAACATTTATTGAGTATGGATTAGTATGTTACGTTTTAGGTCACCAAGTTCATATCTCAACGCAGAACCAGTTCTTATGCATAGATTTCAGGAAAGAATCACACGACCACTTCTGCATTAATCAATTTATTTTCTAATTGAGACCTTAACTCTAAATGATGCAACTCTCAGCTTGGAAACACAGTATCAACACAGTCTCATCAATGACTGGGTTGTTTCACTTTGACAACAGTACCTGTGGTTAATTCCGCCGCGTAACGCGAGCTCAGTTGGTGAGAGAGATAGAGAGTCATTAAAACATGCATATGCTAATCTAAATAAAAACCTTAACTTTATAATATATGATTATACTTGAATTGTTCACGTAGTACCGCACTCATTATTGATCATATGCAACCCTTATCACGTTGTTAGCACATTGGGTCACGGAACAGTTGAGTATTCTATAGAGTACGCGAGTACGTGCGGCGATCAGTAACGAAAGGTACTTAAAGATTATATGACGATATTCATACGAAAAGGCGATCAAAACAGTTATTATTCCCAAAGGCACAAATATATCAACAGATCCATTGGACAGATTATATGATCACTGAAATGGCTTAGAGTGAAGGTGTGCGGTGGGGTGCTCTCTCTCCCCTGATATCCTTATCTTGGGCCAACGTTTAATTAATTGTGAACCAGATCGCCTGATAAGGAAGCCGGTTGGATACGCTATTCCCCCACGTGAGTGTAGCTCCGTGACCAAGGTGTCAAGGATTAATTCGTATTGATGAATCGGTTGGTAATTTATGCGATTAGAAGTACAGCCCAAAACAAAATATTAAGGAGGAAACTTATGAATATACTTATAAACGACGGACTGTTATCACCCGATCTGTAGCGATGCTTACACGGCCACAGATGGTTCACGTTTTGGGATTGGCTTTTGTTCCTGACTCGTATATGATGAGGGATATAATTGTGTTGAATAGTCAGTGTTCGGAGTTGATTCTTTGCATCAAACAGACACCTGGTTTGTCGTGTGGTGGGGGGCAGTGCGTGTCATACGTATCAGTCAATTCTTCTGTCACCATGGTTGATTCGGTTTGGCTGACGTAGGTTGGCGAGCCGCCATGCTGTTGTAGTTGTGTTGGCCCGTCGGTAGATGGTGCACACAGCTCGCTCGTAGCGTGCGCGGTGGTGCCGTCGGCTTGGCGGCTAGCCCACGTTCCGCTCTTAGTGGGCACAGTTGTATGATCGGTAGATGGCGCTCGTCTGCTGGTCGCTGGCACGGTCGTGTCGCTGAGTGTTGACCACCGGTTGCGCTATCGGGGGCTGGCGATACACGTTCGTTGCGATGCTACTTTTGATGGTGCCGACTCGCACCGCGTAGCCCCATCGCTAAACAGCGAGTCTCGCCCTTCTGGTGGGCGGCAGGGACCTCCTCCGGGTCGGTGGCGGCCGATCCCCCGCAGGGATGAGCCGAGCTGGCAAGCTGGCCTTGGCCGCTTGCTGATGAGCTCAGCTGATGAGCTCCCCCGCTGAGCTGAGCCGATGAGCTGAGCTGAGCCGATGAGCTGAGCTGAGCTCAGCCGAGCTGAACCGAGCTCCGATGAGCTGGCCGAACTGAGGTTTCAATGCTGTAGTGTCCTCTTTTATGCCAAAATCCCTCCTCTTGGCTCCTCCGCACAAGGCGGAGCTTCTTTTGATTTAGCTGTGTGTCGTGGTCTGGAGCGCGTGTCCGTATGTGCGTCCTTGTGTATGTGTGTCCTTGTGTGCGTCATACGGCACGGCTCCGCTGCCTCCTCTTTCCATAAACCATAACAACAGGTGTTACAAATCGTCTCACAGGAGTCTCTGTCTGTATGGCCCAACCTGGAGGGAGGGGCGATATTCCCTCAGGTGCGACCTTCACCGACGAACAAAGAAATGGTTAAGGTTTTTAAAGTTAACATTTCATTTCATCACAGTTTTACAGTTATGATTCTGTATGTGACTCGAGGTCTGTTGTTTAGTTCCCATCGTGGTGTTTGATTTTATTTCAAGGGAAAGTGCTCTCTTGAGCGTATGCATATTCTTATCATGTGCTGCAGGAAGACAAAGTCGGCCGGGGAACTCTCTTTTGCCCAGGCCCCCGGTTTAACACCGCCCTTGTATGTATAGTTTCATGTTTAACAAGGTTGTGATTATCGTGTTGTGTGTGCGTTGTTTATTAGGCTTTAACTCTCCCTTGAGCACAGACAGCCTGTGGTAACTCCCTGCCCCTCACTCTCTCGCTGTCTCTCAGTCTCTGTCCCACACTCTCTGCTCCCCACTCTCGCTACTCACGCCGCTGTTGCCGTTGTCCCACTGACGCCGCCATACTTGCAGGGCTGCGCTTTAAGCTGCTTTTCGGTCTACACACGCCGTGTATCTCAAGGCCGCTCTCTCCTCTCATTAATTTCGTCATTCCGTCTGGCTGCGGTAGGTGAGTGTTATCCATCGGATTCCCAGCCCTCCCGCAAGTGCAGGTGGTTGCAATAATGAGTTGGCTCGGGTTTTTATCATTTATTATCATTTTGTTATCGATATCCTCAGTCAGGAGGTAAGCCTCTGAAGGTCGGAACTCGCACTCCCCGGTGTCTGTGGGGTCGGGCAACGGGCAAGGGCTTTGTCATTTTAAGGTGAATAGTGTTAGTGTCAATGTTCCATGTGACCATGTCTTGTAATCTCCCCAACTTAATTTGTTTGCCAAGGTCTGCTGCTGCCTTCGTTAGCAAGGAATTTCCCTGCCTTCTGGTGCTATCTTTCCTCTCTCACGCTGCGGGAAAACAAGGCGTTTTTCTTTCTCTCCGTTGCCCATGGTCCACATCACCCAAACACCACCTGTTTTATGTTCACAAGGCTGTGATTCACCCAGCTATCTTGGCCCCCCTCCTGTCCTCATGAATTTTCGTCATTCCGTGTAGCTGCGGTGGGGGATTCTCAGCCCCCCCCACCCCCCGCGAGTGCAGTTGGCAGCAATAATGAGTTGGCTATGATTCTTTCCACTCTTATCTCTTAGCGTGCCGAGGTCAGTCTCACATGCTGGCCTTCAGTGTTTGGCTTACGTGTTTTGCAGTTTGCTGTGCGCTTGTGTTTTCATTCGTTATTTCGAGAAGAGAAAAAAATATGTGTATCGGCAAATTTTTTGTGAATTTTTGTGAAAAGATGGAAAAAGGGCTGTATACAACACTAGGACAGAGACCAAGATGCAGGCCCCAAAAGCAGTGGTTTGAAGTGGCGAACGGGGTTATAAAAATACTGATGGGCATCCGTGATGGCCCAGCACAATAATTCGTGGACAAATAATAGGTTCTTGCAGGGTGGGCTGGTAGGAACATTGGAATTTTTTTTCTACACCCAACAGCACGAGATTTCACTTATAAAGTATTGAAAGGGGACGGACGGACAGACGGACGGACGCATTAATCTATTGCAGGCTGGTACACTCAGTTTACAACTTCGTTCCTACCAGTAATAATAATCCCCATGACCGATAGGACATGAGGAGAGCTTCAAACGCCATTGAAATTATTCATCTTCGTATGGCTGGGCGAAGAAGTTAAAGTTTGACGTCGTGAAGAAACAGAACTGTCTTTCCGACAGTTCTGTTTCTTCACCTGAGGACCGCTACTTGTGTTGTGGCCGAAACGTCGTGTGAATTGTATTTTGTTTTATTTTTATTATTTTATTATTTCCCTTCTACGTGACTTTACCGAAAGAACCAAGAAGATGAATCCCTGCAGTCACGAAAGCTTTAAATCGAAATTTGACGTCGATGTCAGCGATCCATTCAAGGCCTTCCAGTGAGGCGGAGGGTTGAGTGGTCGCGATGCCCACCGGGGAATGGATCTTTCAGGGGCAAGGAGTTCGGTTCGTGGGGGCGATCGCCTTTGGTGGTGGCCACGGTAACAATTTCTGTTGCTCCTCTCGTGCCACTTGTTAAGTGGTCGCATCTTCCCTGGCCTTGTCCTCAAGCGGTTGAATGACAACCATTGTAATGACAAAGGACTGGCTATACATTGTTATTATTTAAGACAATGGGTGAACTGTGAATTCAACTACTTCTGTCCACATAAATGCCCGTGTATCACCAGACGTCGCCGACCCGCAATGGTGTACAATCACTGCTTGATTTGACAGATTTAGGTTAAACATGGCACGGAGGATGCACATCGCTCAGCACGGCCGTCGTTTGGAGCCCCAAAGGCGGCAAAGAAACTAGGCACCACCGTAGGCTCTGTAAAATAGGCTAGGCCTCGGAACTCTTTTTGCGTTACACGCCATTGAGATGGGGACGCGGGTACGTGACGACGAGGACAGGGGTCCCCAGGGGAGTCGCGCAGTGAATACGCGGAGAAAGCGAAGACAGCAAGGGAGAAACCCACCCGGGTCGTAGCATTCTAGCTTCAGCCGACGCTTCCCGGCACCCCCATTGAACGATGCGCCCTCCGCTGTTGTATGGGCTACGGTGGTCCCAGACTGACAAACGTGTGGTGAAGGAAGGTGACAAACGCGTTTCGTAAATACAAAGCCGGTCTTTATTTGTGACTAAAACTCGACACAACAAATTTCGATTTACAGGTCCCTGCAGGGTGGGCAGGTAGGACAAGTCTCTGCGCTGTCTATTGCTGATTTTACACCCAACAGCACGAGATTTAATCGTTAAAGTATTGAAAGGGGACGGACGGACGCATTAATCTATTGCAGGCTGGTACACTCAGTTTACAACTTCGTTCCTACCAGTATAAAATATATACGTTCAAGTGGCTAAATCACTTCCCAAGCTTGGAAAGGCAATAAAACAACATAATGTTCAGACTAAACCAAGAAAACACACAGTCCCTCAATACAATTGTACATTAAAATTGAACTCTCAATACATTGTGAAGGATACAATTTACAAATCACATTGGCAAATGTGGCTGTATCCAGCACTGATCTTCTGCCTCAATATTTTTGGAAGGAAGATTCATGACGTTAATTGAGGAAACAAGGTTGTTCCAAAAGTTTTTTTTTTAATACCAGGTGAAGATAATGAAGCTGGATTTTTGTTTGAGGAAAACACAATGATCTACGGTTTTCACTGATTTAGGAGCAATTTTAGTGATGGCAATTGATGAATTACATAAAAATCATATGGGAGATTCTGTTTGACTTCGATAGGAGATTTACCTGAAACTAGCATAAAAGTGTCATCAGCAAAGAAATGTAATTCTGTGTGATGTAAGTTTAGTCTAATATTCTTTAAATATAATCAGAACATACAGTAATTGGACCCAGCACGGAACCTCGTGGAACACCATTTGTTATACCTACTATAATCACCCAGGAATGTCTGTCCTTAACGCTTGTGACGTCACTCCACATCGACCAGCCCCCCTAATTAATATTCATGAGCAGGTAACATCCTCCAAATGGACCCCCCCCACCTCTCATTAATAATCATGAGTGGGTGACATCACTCAATATGGAGGATTCCCCCCCCCTCACTAATACTCATGTGCAAGTGATGTCACTCCACATTGAACATTAATCATCATGAGCAGGTGACGTCACTCCACATCGAACAGCCCCCCTCAATAATCATTATAAGGTGACGTCCTCCAAATGAACACCCCCCCTTCCTAATTCATAACACTATTTTTTTTTGGACCTGGGTAGTAAGTGTTATTTCCTAATTGTTTATGCCTCAAAAGTACAGAAAATGGCTATTATTCCCCAGAAACTTTGCTTTTGTGACCAGGACATTGATACATCTTCTTTGGTTCTTTCGGTAAAGTCACGTAGAATGAGAATACAATCATAAATTGATAAAATAAAATAACACAATAATATTCTCACGACGTTTCGGCCAAAACACAAGCGGCCTTCATCAGGTGAAGGGACGAGACTGTCTGGTAGGACAGCGCTGGAGTGAAAGAGCCACGTTCAGATCACGGCCTTTAAGCTGTGTGAGAGGAACAAAGCGCCTTGACAAAGGAATTAGCATATAATTTAGCATTGAAATGGCTGAATGATTAGCTTGTGACTGGTCACAGAAATAGCTATGTTAAAAGTTAAAGCATACACATCCGCAGAGGCACCCCTTGTTAAAGGAATTAGCATAGAATTTAGCATTGAAATAGCTAAGTTAAAGCATACACATCCGCAGAGGCACCCCTTGACAATGGAATTAGCATAGAATTTAGCATTGAAATAGCTGAGTGATTAGCTTGTAACTGCTCACAGAAATAGCTACGTTAAAGTCAGAGCATACACATTCACCGAGGCACTAATTTAGCATTGAAATAACTAGGCGAATTTAGCATTGAAATAACTGAGTGATTACCTAGTGACTGGTCACAGAAATGACTATGTTGAAGTCAAGGCCTACACATCTGAGCTATTCACAGTACTATATAGTGAACCAATAAAAAACTAAAATATAAATTACCTTAATGTTATCAATAAACTCTATATTCTCCAATCAGCTAAGCTACCAACAATAAGTCGTTATATATCACAATGCTATATGGCGAAAAAATGGGTGGATTCTTACCCTCAACTTTAGCACCACGGATAGCTACGGGCCCCATTCAGACGGACGAGTTCGTCCATGGTCGGAACAGAGGAGGGGGAGAGAGACAGCTGCGAGGCGCTATTATACTCCATGTTGTAAAACCATACCATTAACCGTGGTGTGAGAGGTATTAAGAGTCAATGCTGGCGAAGGAGCTGCGGTCTGAAGGTCATCGTGAAAATACAATTAATTAAGAACAGAAATGATTTAAAACATCTTTCCAGTGGTTACTAAGCCAGAATCCATCTTCTCGGTTGAAATTGTCTCTGTGCTTGTATATGTGAATGGCCTCATGAACGAATCTCTCATGGTAGCCGGTTGGTTTGCAAAGAACCTCCGTCTTGGAGAAGTCAATGTCATGTGAGCCCACTGAATTATAACAGTGATCTGCCACGGCAGAGGAGTTCGTCCTACCGTGTTTCAAGTCTGCTTTATGTTCGCGGATGCGGTCCAAGATATGTCTTTTGGTTTCTCCAATGTAGCTACTACCACAGAGGCACTTTAGTTTGTAAACGCCCGGGTACTGTATGTCTGGAACAGCATCTTTTACAGATGGAACTAAATCACGGATTTTATGTACTGTGTTGAATCGGACCTGGATCTTGTGTTTATTCAGGATTTTGGAGATCTTTTTAGTGACCCCTGCAATGTAGGGTAAGGTGATGGTTTTGAGTGGCTCCACAAGAGGATCCTTCTTCATGACTGGAGTGATGGCTTTGCGGATTGTGTAGTCAGAGTAGCCATTAGCCCTGAGAGCCTGGTGTACGTGCTTGAGTTCACTGGTAATGTGTTCCTGGTCGGAAATGCATTGGGCTCTATGGTATAGAGTCTTGATGAGGGAGTTCTTCTGGGATGGATGGTGGTGGGAATCCGGTTTCAAGTAAGCATCTGTATGGGTAGCTTTCCTGTAGACAGAGTGGCTCATTGAACCATCATGTCTCCTTTTAATTAAGACATCCAAATAGGGTAGTTTGCCATCTTTTTCGACCTCCATGGTAAATCTGATGGCTGGGTGTATGGAATTGATGTGGTCTCGGAATTGGTCTAGAGCAGGCTGGCCATGTGGCCAGATGACAAAGGTGTCATCAACGTACCTCTTCCATAAGGTCGGGCGTAGAGTGGCAGTCTGGATGGCGTCAGTTTCAAATTTTTCCATGAATACGTTGGCTACAACCGGAGATAGGGGGGAGCCCATTGGGGTGCTCTGAGTTTGTTTGTAGAAAGTTCGATTCCAGGTGAAGTATGTGTTGGTTAAGCAATGTCTCACCAGGGGGGGTACATCAGTATGCAGTCCTTGATGAACCAGGTCTTCAATGATAGCGATGGTGTCAGGTACCGGGACTTTGGTGAACAAGGACACCACATCAAAACTGACAAGCAGGTCGTTTGGGGACAGGGAAATGCCTTTGATTGTCGATACCAGGTGAGTAGAATTTAGTACCGCAGAGGTGTTTTTTCCAGTGAAAGCTCGCAGTATATCAGCTAGAAAACGTGCCAGTTTGTAGGTGGGGGAGTTGACAGTAGAGACGATGGGACGAAGGGGTGTATCTTCTTTGTGTATCTTTGGAAGGCCATATAATCTAGGTGGTCTGGCAGCAGAGGGTTTCAACGAGAACTGTTTGATCTCATCAATTAATGCTGTTGAATCAGAGATGATTTTGTTCGTTTTGGTGACCAGGCTGTTGGTGGGATCTCTTTTTTTTTGTATAGCTGCCATCGTTGAGTAGTTCTTGAATTTTGTTGTTATATTGATACTTTTAAATTTACCTATTTTCAGAACATTCCAGATAGATTCAGTGCTGAGTAAACTTGGAGTAATTTCTAGAACATTCTATAACTTTCCAGTAATATAAATAGTAATATAAAAACAGGGACCTTAAGCCCACCAGTTCAGTTTAGTTCCAGCTGCCTAAGTGGATGCATATCTGCATTTTTCTGATATGGCATCAAAAGGCTGCAAGCATCCGGCAGACGCATTTTCCTCTGTCTGTGGTCAATTTATTAAGACAAGAACGAAAAA